CTACACTGTCATCTACTTTACTACTACGTAGTATTTGAGATTTGGTTTCAATATAATTTTGTTTGTAAAAATTGTTGAAAAATTCCAATTATTGCTGTTTCCAATGCGCGTCCTCTTCCCTTCGAAGTACTTCAAAAACCATTTTACTAAGCCGTAGTCTAAGAACGCTATTTGACTCAATGCTAAACTGGAAGCGTTTAATTGAGCAATTTCTTAAAAATTACCTCCCAGCTCTTAGAATTATTTTTTTATTTATTTAATTAATCATAATAATTTTGAATAATGCTTGTCAGTCACTTTGCCCTTTCGAATTTCCATTCTTTTCTTGTATTTTTTTCTTGTGTGATTAATTTTAGGTTTCCGATTCCGTAGAGGAACTGTGAGTACTAGAGTGAAGCGAAATGTGGTAGTGGTTTTTCGCTTTACGATTTCCGTGCACCGTGACTTTTTGATTCCTTTTTACTTTTTTGATGCTATCACTGGAGTTTGAAGTCCTCGTTTCTCTTCTTCTTTCACTTCTTTGATTCGATTCCCAAGGCATTAGTTCTATCTTCTCGCCCACTTCAAAGTGTATTCATTCTATTGATGAGCTATATTTCCGGGCAGCGATGTCCTGAAAGCGATTTCGAAATCGCCATGAGTTTCCTATTTCATTTCGACTTCCCACGACACTTTTCGAGGATTGGGAGCCTCTCTGATAGCTCGATTTTCTACCCCGGTCCTCATTCGCCTTTTCCATCGCCTCGATTAAACGGCGTCGAAGTGGAAATTTATGGGAATTAAAGTGGCATTCTAGTACTAGAATTGTCCTAACAGAGGACATGATCAATATCTTCAAGAATAATGGACTTCTACTTAGCGGCTATTGCTAATAGTGCACATCTTTGAAGAGCTACAAGATTTTTTGTTGTGACCAAATGCGTCGCGCTTTAATATAGCCCTATTTTTGGCTCGATGCTTATTTCAGACGAGGAAAATGAGCGTCCGGAATGGATGTAATTAGCGGTGACGCTTGTTTATGATTGAGTCAGGTCGAATTGGCGTCCTATGTGGAATCGATCTGTTCTCGACTCAATGAAGATGGCCACTTTTGAAGTAGTAATTGGTTCCACTTGACTCCTTTCAAGTACTGCTCACTCTATCGTCCCAGTTTTCTTCATGGGAGATTGGTGACGAAATTCCATCAATGATAACGAGGACATTTTTTTAATAAAATAATAATTCAATGTGTTTTGCATTTCCATAGTTGTGTAATCAGCTGGCTTTTTGGTCACATTAGGCTAATTTTCCTCGCTTTTCTATCGTTCCTCTTCACACTTAACATTGTTTTTTTTTTCATAACAGGCAATTGCTCATACTCAACAAAATCGATTTTTTATCGAAATAATTCTGACACAAATTCCATGCTTTTTTCATATTTCATGCTGTTCAGAAAACGTACAAACGTTTATATTTGAGAATGCTCTCGAAAATTTATTGACCCATGATTGAATAGTACTAGTAGTTATCCATCTGTTCAATACCGGATAAGTATTGAAAACGATTTTTTTCCAGAACCTTTCAAAATATTTTTGCGTAGGTTTGATAATATGCAAAGGTTCGGCCTCGAACAGGGCTTGAACCCACACTTGGCGTTTGCAGGCTTGTTGAGAACACTACCTAGACCTCATATATCTCCTGGTCTGATACCTGGTAGCACTTTTTTTCAAAATTTGTTGGCACAGAACGACCTGTTAACCAGTATTCTGGCAATTCCCGAAATGTTATAAAATTGATTTTCTAATTCACGAGGGTAATTGATGGTAAATGTTGAGTAATTAGTACAAATAGGCCCTTTCCCCGTTTCTGTTTCGAAAAATCTAACTCAGTGGTAAGGTCTTGGGCTTAACGAAAATAAGGTCGTCGACAGAAGGAGCAAAACGAACCTTTTATTTATTTCATTTGAGCCGATGTCAGACTTTGCGAATCGAGCGATTCGCTAGCGTCCGCGGTCGCGTCGCGGCCAGTGAATCACTCAATTGGCTGGTACCGCAACGCGACCGCGGACGCTAGCGAATCGCTATCGCTCGATTCGCAAAGTCTGACATGGAAATGATAAGAAGGGTAAAGCATTTGCCGTTGAATAATCCCTTTTTGGGATGCGGCACGCATTCTACTTCCATTTGTACATTCGTAGTGGCGCTTGAATGCGATGTGGCCTATACAATGACTTGCGGGGGCCAGCCGATGTACAAGTCAGTGTTTTTTTATCCTCCCAGACAAGTCTGGTACCAATTAACCGACCCCGGAGGGATGGAGGGCTTGGTTGGCCCGGGC